GTTTAGCTAAATAATCTGCCATATCATTACCTTCTATCTTTATGAGCAGGTACCCACATAAATCTAACTATTATTTGTAACTGTAGACGTCTAAATATGATTTCATGTATTTCATAAACAAGTTCTATGTGACTTTCAGATGAGAAATTGGCAATAGATATGAATGATGACAATGAATCTGAACATATAAGTACTCTTCTTATTTTATTTTGTTCTACCCACTGTAATGCCATCAGAATTGCTAACATTTCTACTGTGTAAACTGCTAAATGATCAGATGTTCTTTGTTTCATATGTATGTTCAACTCTGGAATTACATAAGCAAATCCTGTTTTACCTGAAACTACTTCCTTTAACCCATCCGTAAATATAACAATAAAGGATTTATATATACTCTTTATTCTATTATTTACTAATTTTATCCATTCATTACTTTTGTTAATCTGCATTTCTTTATGTATGACGATATCAACATATATATGTGGAAATATCCAAAAAGGAGTAGCTGAATAGGGCACTGCAGCACAAATCCAGCATGTTTGACTTGTTTCTCTGCTCTTCAGCAGGTCTTCAGAAGATTGGTAATCACTCTTCATTCAAACCAGGTGTGTCAAATCAGGGAAACATCTAAAAATCACTGCTTTAAATGTTGACCAACAGTTCAAGAGCTTCTCTGAGCTTCATGAGACATTTTCAAAATATAATATTGACCCAGTTTTATGGTTTTTAGTATTAYCTCTGGAAGCCATTGATTCTATTCCATCTATTTGTAAATAATAAATCAGATAACGTGTTAAGGCAGTGATTCTCAACCCTGTCCACAAGGACTCTTTTCCTGCATGTTTCCATGATTTGACACACTTGGTTTGAATGAAGAGTGATTACCAGTCTTCTGAAGACCTGCTGAAGAGCAGGGAAACAAGTCAAACATGCTGCGTAGGGGCTCTCGAGGACCAGGGTTGGCCAGCCCTCCATCACTTTCTGTGACATGAAAACTTGACTTGTTTGTTCGTGCTCAAATCTCACCGTTTCACTTACAACAGGCATTTAGCTCCTCATGATCTGTGCCTTCGTTTAGTATTTTATTTAGTATTTTCTGTTTTGTGTATTTCTGGTAAATCTGTCCGTTTTGTGTGTGCCACACCCACCTGCRCCTGATCCAGATTGCCCCTGCACAGGTGTCAGGGGTTTCCCTTCATTAGTTTGTCTTTATATTCCTGGTGTGTCACTGAGCTGGTATTTGTTGCTCTGTCAGCAGGAAGTCTGTGCTGTTCTCTGGTTTAAGAGAGGTTTTGGTTTCGTTTGGTTGTTTGCTGCCATGACAGCTTTTTCTTTTTCAAGTTTTAGTCACAACTCTTCTGTCTGAACTCTGAGTCCAGCCTTGAACTACATCCTCTGACTGTGACATCAAGCTGCTTGAACTTTTCTCCCTGACTCAGGCAGAGTTGTAAAGTACAAATACGTTGTTGCTGTACATAAGTAGAAACATTACTTAAGTTATTCTTTTCAGCCTATTCTGTCACAACAGACTGCACTGTGGTTAATGTGGCGTTCACTGCAGATCAATGCTCAGATTCATATAAGCATGTCATACAAAGCCTTTTCTATACATTGCTTGTGATTTACTGGCACAAAAACACRTCTTTGTTAAGCTGCCACTTGTTAATTCAGACCAAAACAGAAGCAGCTCAGTGAACACGTTCATGCTAATTCAGCTTAGTGACTCCCTCTGCTGTAGAGTTCAAAGACGTATTTGCAGTCAGTCCACTTTGACCCTCAAGTCTTTACATTCAGGGGTGATATTGATGCACAACAAATCAACCATTTTAAAGTTGTGTGAGAAGAGTCACAGATTCGCTGTGTGAGGCCTGACTCTGCGGTGTGGCGGTGCAGAATATAGGAGAAAGGAGAGGCCAAGGAAGCCTTGATCCCTGCACTGCTGTGGAAAACAGCTGGGTGTTAATTGAGAGGAGACCCTCCGAGGTACTGGACCCAGCTGCTGCTGGGTTGCCGCAGGGTTCAGGGCTCGGCAAAATCCCAGGCTCCCAAGCCTGCTGTTCACTACTGTTCTCCTCAGCACAGCGGTGAGGGTCAGTCAAGAGTTGCTTGAGCTTTACAGTGAAATTGAGTGAAATCCCCTCTAAAGCCAAAACAGTGGAACTGGTGATACAATAATACATTTTAAGCTTCTTAGATTGAAATAATAGATCTGTATATGGAATATTTTGTTCATCTGTTTTATTTTTATTAGCTTTAAACACGTCACTATCTTGTGTTAATAGAATTATAAATTCTGTTTAGTTTTTCATCTTACCGCTTTATTATATTTGCTTTTATTTAAAAAATTTTGAGAAACATTTTTTGTTATTGATTTCTGTTTAATTTGTCATCACATTTAATTGTTTTGAATTCATTCTTTTGGTTTTCCTCTTTTCTTGCACCAGTAAAACACTCCACAGACAAAACAAAGGAAGTAAAGATTATTAAGCTCCATTTCTTCCATTATTTCTGTTATTTTATTTGTATGGAGAACTCCCTGAGCCTTTCAACTGCATTTAAAACCAAAAAAATAGCATGCACTGCAAAAACTGTCCATCTAAAAAGGTTTTAATATCTAATATACAGACAAAAAAATAATTTTTATCTTGTTTTGAGAC